CATAATTGCTTCTCTTTGTACATGTCAAGCAACATGAATGGTTAACTTAATAAATAAAAATATAGTTCAACAATAATAAATTTTAAAAAAAGTTATATTTCTTTTTATATAAAAAAATCTCTAATCAAAAATAATATTGTATGATAGTTTATCATAAAAAATGAATGAGTTATATGATTGATCATTAATATTATTTAAAAATTATTATTTAAAAATAATTAAAATATTGACTATTCTCGAGTTTGTATGGTAAAAATATTTATATCATTTATTCACAATATATAACAATAAGTGATAGAGTTGAGAGCTTGTAATAAATAATTTTTTTAATATATATTACATTTTCCATATCCTTAATATATTTAAATAAAATAAATATTTAAACGTCAAATTTTGAGTAAAATCCGGCATAAACAATTTCTAATCATATTATTTCCCTTTCTCTTTCCAGCAAATATTATTTAATATTTAATATTAATTATACAACTTATTACTCCACCGCTAATTTCTATTTAGTTCAACTATTCAATCAACAAAAATTCTAAAAAAATTTTCACCTACAATATCTATCCATAATTTGTCCCATGCATTGCACGGATAAAAGTACTAATGTGCCCTAAAGCACAAGTTAAGAGTTAAATGTATTTTTTTTTGAAAATTGTGCATTATTTTAATTAAAAGTTTACCATTAACTTTTCTAACATAAAATTTTCATTTTTAGATTTTTTAACATGTCCCTTAGAACACATGTTAACATTATCTTGCAAATATTAATAAAATCAGTGTTTTAAAATAAAACCACTTACAGAATGAAGCTATTTTTAAAACAAGAGCATTTGTTTAAGATGCTAGGGTCTCTTCTAACTTAATCAGCCCCGGACACAAATCAATGTTAAATTTATTAAGAGAGAGTTTTATTGTCTATTATGATCCTCTATGATTTGATGATTAGTTTCTACAATTGTGCGTGAAAGATTCTTGATTTAAACAAAAACAATAAAATAAAGTTTGATAAGTGAACTGGGTAGATAACACTAGTTTTTACGAGATTAATTATAATGATAGTTTAATTGCCTTACCAGACCACTCTACCCCAATTCACAGTCTAATCGACTCAATCAATTAAGTTGATATGGATTTTAAAATACCACATATCAGATATGAAAGAAGTGCAAATAAAATATTTCTAAAGTCTAACTAGTACCCTTCCACCCTAAATAAATAATAAATTATTGTAATATATTGTTAATAAATAAGTATTAACTTTAAATATTTGATTAGATTTTGAACAATAAATTGAGACGACTTTTCCAAAAGGTGATTTTGAATCTAATAATATTTAATGATACATCGTTTCAATTTTATTATTCGTGAGGAGTTTTGATTTGAATCGATTCGAATACAAACACTTTAACTATTAATATATATTTTTTAAAATGTTCAAATTTATTTTTATTCTTCTATTTTAATTAAAATTAATTTTTCTTTGTTTTTAATCCACGTTTTTAGTTTTATATTTTATATTTTTTGAATTTCTTTCAGTCTTTGTTATTTTTATTTTATATACCATAATTATTAATAATATTTTACTTTCACAAAATCAAATAAATTTTTTGATAATATTTTAAATATTTTTCCAAAAGAAGATTTAAAAATTGTAATAATATTTTATAATACGCGGTTTTCCATTTTTTTTATCTATAGGTAGATTTGAATCGATTTGACTATAAATACATTAATTATTATTATTTTCTTTTAAAAATGTTTGAATTTATTTTTGAGTCTATAATTAATTTTTATCTTTGTTTTTAATTTGTGTTTTTGGTTTTATATTTCATATTCTTTGAATTCTTTTAGTCTTCATCATTTTTATTTGACATACCGTAATTATTAAAGATGTTTTACTTTTACATAATCAAATTAAAGAATTTTATAATATTTTTCCCAAAAAATTTAAAGAATGTGATAATGATAATACGGGCTTTTCAATTTTACTAGCTATGCGGTTTTGATTTGAATCAATATGATTATTATCTTTTTATAAAAATGTCTGAATTTATTTTTCTCTTTTATATTTTAATACAAATTATTTCTATCTTTATTTTTAATCTATGTTTTTGGTTTTATATTTTATAATCTTTGAAATTTTTTGTCTTCCTCAATTTTTATTTGATATGTCATAATTATTAATAATATATTACTTTCAGAAAATCAAATTAAATAAAGTTAATATTATACAATAGATGTTATATTATATGTAAATAATAAAATTACCATTTTTAAAAATTATTTATTTATAAAAGAAAAAAAATACAATAATTAATATAAAATATTTTTACACTTTCCACTAATCAGAAACTTGTATCCTGTCACATTTTATTTTTAAAATATTAAAATAATAAAGTTGAATGATAAAATTCTATTGAATGATAATATAAAATTATTTTACATTGACAATACGTTATCTTTAATCTCTTTATAACAATTTATTTACATTAATTTATAAATATAAATAAATTTTATCTAATATTTTAAATAAATTTTAAATTACTAAAAATAATAGTTATAATAATAAATTCTTAAAAAATGTAATATTTTACATATTTATTTCTATAATTATTGATATTAAAAAATTAAAATTATATTTTATAATAATAACTTAAATAGAAATATTTTATAAAAAAAATATTAATATTTATAATATTTTATAAATTAATATTCTATATTTCATCTTTAATCCGCAATAACGTTTATTTATATTTATATATTATTATTTAATTTATTAATATAAATAAATAGTTGATATTTAAGCGTATAGATAGTCTTATTATTCCTTTAGTTTTGTCATCCGAGCGAAACACACACGAGTAGTGACTGTAACTAGTCTCCACATCACCAGCCACCAAACAACAACAACAGAAACCTTCTGCTTCTGGAATCTTCCTCACCGTTCTCCAACCGCTTTTGCCTCGGTCAACTTCTCAATCTCTCGGTATCTCTATCACTTCCAATTTCTCTATTTTCTTTCCCAAATTGCTTATTGTTATTGATACTGTTAATGTCCTTCACGATGACGATGGTTGTTGTCTCTCGTTTTTCTTCCCTAATTTGTTTTTTTTTGTTAGGCTGAATGTGAAATTTTGAATGCATGTAATGATTTTGTTTTGTTTTCGGCTTTGTACAGTTAATTTTGGGTTTTCATTGGATTTTCTAAATTTGTGTGTTTTTTTTTTTTTTTTATATTTTTGTTTTGGGTATTTTTTTTGTGTGCATCTTTGTGTTTGTTTGGGAGATAAGAGGAAAAGAAGAGTGGTGAAGGGGTTAGGAAGAAAAGGAGGGAATTTTCTTACCTAATTTGGGAGATTATTTGTGGGGTATAGGGGATGAGAAAAATTTAGTGTATTAATTTAAATTGAGCAATTGGTTCTTTTTACTTTCAAAAACATTGTGAGTTTTTATCCTGTGTAGCAGTGACACCTCTGAAAAAAAGGTGTGTCCGTGTTTGAAAGCGACACCTCTGAAAAAAGGCGTGTCTGTTTGAAAGCGATACTTGCGATTACGTTTAATTTATTCATTTTTTCAAAATATTATCGGTGTGTAAGTGTCGATGTCGTGTTTCCGGTTTTCATGCTTCATAGGTTTTTATTTTATAAAGTGCGTTCTAAATTGATAATAGTGAGATAGAAGGTTAGAGTAGTGAACAATTGTGATAGAGGGAAGATAAAAGCAGTGTTATCAACTAGGGGCGCCATGGCCGCTATGGCGGATATACATGGTGGTTTTTGGGCTCGTCGTAATGGTAAATATCAACCGATATTGCGGGTTCTTTTGCCATAATCCGTTATAACGACGACGCACCAGTATGATGGTATTTTGGCTCTGTGCCATGGGCCGCCATCCGCCATTGACAACACTGTTTTTGAAAAGGCTAGATCTATTTTAAATTTGTGAAATGGTAATATAATAATGTTGGTAAATTTAGTGTCTATCGAAATATCTTTTGAGCAAGCGCACCCATCACAACCGATGAAACTCCAACATGTTGCTTTGAATAGTCTCTTGCAGCATCACGGCAAAGATAGTGCATTTAAAGTTGTGGTGCTAAATTTCAATAAATGACTAAATAGATCAGAGTTATCAATACTGGCACTATCCCAGAATAGCGGCCCAGAGCGGTGACCCTCCACTATTTGATGTTTAGCGGGGAGCGGGACGCTTTTTGGCTCGAGCGGCTTTGAATTGTTTTGAACGAGAAAATCTAGATTTACCTTAAAGTGAATAAATTCGGTATGGTTTTACATCTGTTTTTCATTACCTCCGTTTTTTAAGTAATAGTCATTTAATAATTCTATTCCTCGTGTTCCTCTTTTATTTTATAGATTATTCTTATAATTAGTCTTAAAAATAGTCAAATAGTGGTTATCCCGCCATCCCATTTTTGAGGCCGGCCGCTCTGCTCCGTTGTTTGGGATTGATAACTTTGAAATAGATTGACCTTTTTTAATTTAGGCAACTTAATTGCCATTTTGAAAATTTGATGGAATAAACTGTCCTATCCTTAAAGGTTCAATGACCGAAATCTTGATTTACTCTCTATTTTCTTTGCCTTTTGAGAGTATTATAAGATGAGTGAAAGGGTTTGAACCATCATGCAAGGCTGGGGATACTCTCCATTCAACTTTGTGCAATCTTGTTTTCTTCGACTAATTTTTGTTGCCAGTTTTTGTCTTTTAATTATAACTTTCTCTAATTTTATTTTGAATTTCTCATTAAAATTTTAATTCTTAGTACTTATCAGTTATTCTTTGTTCAAGACTTCAACAGCAACACAAAATGCATTTTTGAGGTGTTTCTTTGTTATATTTTATACCATTTTCTGCTGCCAATTGATTTCTTTCTTTCTAAAAATGAAATTTGACAGAGGTGAAAAGCGTGGAGATGGACAGATTTGGTAACTAGCTGAAGGGGTATCAGCTGAGGAGCCGGTTGAGTTTAGGGTAATGATAGAAAGGATGGGTGACAGAGCACAATCTGGTTTTGACTGGGTAGCAGAAAGTAATGGGGAGGTTCAAAACTGTGTGAGAAAGAAAAGGAAATACAATAAATCAAAGAAAAAGGAATACAATGGATGGGGATCAACTTCCCTTATTCAGTTTCTCGAATCCATTGGTAGAGACACAAGCAGCAAGATAAGTCAAAGTGACGTCACTAAAATTATAAATGATTATGTTAAGCAGAATAACCTTGTTAAGCCTACAAAAAAGAAAAGAGTTCTGTGTGATGTTAGGCTCCAGTTGTTGTTCGGAAAGAAGAGCATTAGCCGGATGAATATTAGTAATTTGCTTGAGTCACACTTTTTAGAGAACTGTGGACAATCTGATGAAGATCTTTTGTTTGACTCAGACGATGATGAATATGCATGTGAAATCCTCAAACCAGCGCCTTCGGAGAGGAAGAGTCAACCGAGGAAACATGTTGTGGAAAAACCAAGAAGCTGTTTTGCCGCTATTAATCCTTCCAACATCAAGCTTGTTTATTTAAAGAGGAGTCTAGTTGAGGAACTTTTAAAGGACCTTGAAACTTTTGAGGCCAAAGTAGTTCGAAGCTTCATAAGAACCAAGTCTGACCCAAATGACTACCTTCAGAAAAATTCACACCTGCTTCTGCAAATAACAGGTGATTTGACTAGTTTTTGTAGATTATGACATTGCATTCTACCAGCCGCTTATTCTTTTTTTTGACTTCTAATTGTACAAGCTGCTTTGGAAGGTATGCTCATCAACTGCATTAGAGTGTGTTATTCAATTTAGCTTATTCTTTTGACGGCATTACTATGTGTCATGTGTTGAGTGTTATATTATTCTAATTGAATGAAATTTAGACAATTCACAATGTATAGCAGTGAACTAAATAATCTTATTCCATTTGATCTCCTTCTGAAGTCATTTTTAGTGCTACAAATACAGTTATATACGGCAGATATAGAAATTTTAGATCATGAATTTTTTTTTTTAATTAACTGAAATATAGTTATTTCTTGGATATATTTCAGGTATAAAGAAGAGCTCAGGAGTGGATGGGGAAATTCGCTTGCAAGCTTCTGGTTTCATTAAAGACATCCGCATTAATATGCTGTCAGATGATAATTTCTCTGAGGTACGGCTGAATTATCTTACTATTTATAGCTTTATTTAGTAGAAACTATGGTCTCTGCTATTGAGGATTAGGTCAACTAGTAGGATCATATTATATTATTAACTCAAAGGTCTTTGGCTTGGTTCATGTTAGTGAAACCCTTCTTTGGCAAGTCAATCCTAACTTAAGTACCATTTTCAATAGCTTGTGCCATGCCCTGCACTTATAATGGGGCAACTTTTCTCCCGCTGAATTTTCATGTACCAAAAAAAGTTGTCAGCTCCAGCCTGAAGTGTTGAGTTCACTCTAATCATTTCTTTTAATCAATTTGTAAAAAATTAGTGCTGGATTACTTTATTGACTTTTACATAAGCCCGTGTTAATTGAAAATTGGTTATTTATTTGGTATTTCTGCCTGCTGAGTCTCTTTAGTACTGTCATTATTAGCCTACCTAAATAATATACTTTTTGAATAATGTGAGGTTTAGTCATGGATGTGGTGGAGTTATAAAACTTAAAATATTTCACAAATGGAAATATCTATGCAACATAAAGTTATACCAAATGCTAATTAATAAAATGGATGCTGGGGAAACAGCTATGAATCGTAATGGCACATGTTGACTTCTGACTATAATAATTGTGAAAAGAGTCTCATTAGATGAGATAAGGTGAATGGATTGTCTCCTGCGTTTTGTCTTCAGCTCTCTATCCTACCCCAAATCTAGTGGTTGATATACAATAAAAAAATAGTGGTCTAGAGACAGATAGACATAGAATGTAATCCAAAAGTTAAGATTGGTGCTGAACAAAGTGGAGTAGAGAAAAATCTGCAGAGGATCTGGATCCGGCCAACTAAAATTTTAAGATGATAGCATAGCCTATCCAAATTTATTGGATCATCCACTATTGGTCCACGTGTGAGTCACACTCTAGATGTCTAAGTCTTGGGCACGATACCAATACATTTTTTTGTCTTGTCTCCTTTGTTTTTAATTTGCTTCACTTGCAAAACTAATTTTAACAATTGCTGACAAGTTAATAGTTTACTTCTGCATAAAGTTCTGTTTTTACTTAAAATGATAAGGGCCCATATTAGACCGACCCTTACATTATATCAGTTTTTTTGTGCTTTTAAAATTTTGGGTTTTTTGATATATGACTTTGGTTTCAGGCGGAGTGTGAGGATTTACATAGAAGAGTAAAAGACGGCTTACTCAAGAAACTTAAGATTGTACGTTTTTTTCAGTACTTTGACACTGAATCATTCTGATTAATGGAATCCCTGCAGAACTAGAATGATCAGTTTTCTGTAAATCTATGTCTGGTGCTTTATTGAATCTAAAAATTATGACAATTTTTTTGTTTTGTTTTATGGTAGGTGGATTTGGAGGAAAAGGCTAGAGTGTTGCATGAGGATATAACTAAACATGTAAGCAATAACCTTTGCATTATGATTTATTCCCTCATGTTTAATTTCCGTGAATTTCTTACAGTTTCTTGGCTTGCACATCTTATAAAGTGATAAGTTATTGTCACTCCTTAGATACTATTCATTTTATACACGCCATATCTATACCTTAGATATATTCCTTGTACTTGTTTATGTCTTTCTGTATGATAATTTCAATCTACCTATTTAAAATGTTATTATATGCATACACTTCTCTTGTTTGTGTAAAGTAAAACTACTGCACATCCGGTTTCAAATAATAATTTATGTTTATTCTTTTGAAATACGAGCCTGATTCTTTGCCTAACTTTTCTGCTTTCTTGTTATGTGATGAATCTGCGACAGTGGCTTGCAAAAGAACTTGCTCTATTACATAATCTTATTGACCGAGCAAATGAAAAGGGTTGGCGTAGAGAATATCCTTTTCTGATATTTATCTGATAATAGTAATTTTTTTTTCTTTATTGTGGTAATGTCTCTATTGTCCTGTTTTGCTTCAGAATAAGTAGTGAATTTTTACGCTGAACCTTGTTAATGCTTTATGCAATACATGTTATACCGCTAAATTTGTTCTCTAGTAGATTTTCCACAGTTTGTTAATTCGACTCCTAGCTGCATAGTAGATAATAATCATCAGCTGTTTATGGCAGTAATTGCTGGCAATGAACTGATTAAACTCAATTAGCAGGTAAATCGGATTGCTCATCACACTGATTACATTACAATAACTTCTAATGCTATGACTCATGAATAAGATATCAGTCAATTGAAGTAATGAACATTTTGTATTAGGATTCTGAGTTTTTGTCACTAGTATTATGATATATGCTTTGTTTGGAAATTCTTTATTGTCAAAAACTTTTTTAAGATAGATATTCCTTAATCTAATGGAAGCACATTGGACGGCTACCTACAAAGAAGGGAGAAGCTTAAGAGTCCGGAGGAACAAGAACGGTTATTGCGTGAAATTCCTGGAGTTATTGCTGAAGATCTAGAATCAGAATCTACGGCACCAGATGTTCCAGTTAAGAAACTCGAAACCAGTTTCCAAGAGTTTTCAGAGACTACCTGTACAGAAGCATCATTATCAACTGAGGTCCCAATGGTAGTTGCAGATGATTCTGCAGATTATTTCTCAGATGATGAAGAATGGTTATTCCATGGGATTCCCCAAGTTACTACTGGTTTTCTAGATTTTTCAGAATCCAAATTACCAGAAGTTCCAGATAAAAAGGCAGCCCAAGTTACTACTGGTTTTCTAGATTTTTCAGAATCTAAACTACCAGAAGTTCCAGATAAAAAGGCAGAAGTTCCAGATAAAAAGGAAGTCCAAGTTACTACTGGTTTTCTAGATTTTTCAGAATCCAAACTACCAGAAGTTCCAGATAAAAAGGCAGAAGTTCCAGATAAAAAGGCAGTCCAAGTTACTACTGGTTTTCTAGATTTTTCAGAATCCAAACTACCAGAAGTTCCAGATAAAAAGGCAGAAAATAATAATATGCAAAGTTTCTGGGAAGCTACTTGTACAAAAGAATCTTTAGTGACCGAAGTTTCAAAAGCGGTTGCTAATGGTTTTGCATGTAGGGCTACAAAACTGGATCTTGCCGATCAAGCTGAACAAGAAAATGAGTCACCAAAGTCGATTCTCAATCTTAGTGGACCGTCAGAAGTTCCTCTTTTCGGCATGGAAATTAATAGCACTGCGTTGAATTGCACATCTCGTGACACTTCTGCAGGTTTGTTATAATCATCCATTTTTTCCCATGACTCTATTTTAATATAAACATAAAACATGTTTGTTTGTCTGGGGTTCTGTTTAATAGTAGTACTGTAGTACGGTGTTCGGTTGGAGGTGTGCTTAATTTATTTCTATACCTCGAAAACACTAAGGATAACCAGTGTCATTATTCATTAATGTTCTTTGCATGTTTTGGCAGTTAACCAATGGTCTAGCGTGTCTGTTCAACAGCAACCAGCAAAACAAACAAACTTCGCATTTAAGATGGATGGTGTATCCATGCCGGCCAAATCAAATGAATTTAAGATCGGAGATAAGATCTCGCAAGCACCAACAAACAATCAGGTACGGCCAGCTCAGATTCAGGTTATAGAACTGAGCGACGATGATGATGATGATGAAAATGAAAAACCAAGCACAATAAAACCTGTTCATGAAAAACCAAGCACCATAAAACTTGTTCATGAAAAGCTAAACACCGTAAAACAAGTTCCTGCTGAGGAGTTACAATCCTTGATCTGGCATTACAGAGATCCTTATGGACGGGTGCAAGGACCTTTCTCCATAGTTGCTCTAAAAGGTTGGAGGGATGCTCACTACTTTGCTCCAGACTTCAAGGTTTGGAGGGTAGGCCAAAGCCAAGACCAAAGTGTACTGTTGAGGAATATTCTACCTATATTTTTTCCCTTTGGATAAAATTTCAGGTGTCAGTATAACCGGGATGTCAGTTATCATAGTAATGCTTTGTCTTACCAATTTTGATTTAAAAAAATATGATGCTTTTCTATCCTGATCAATTACTTGTTTTGATTTTTCCGGCAACAGACGACCTGCTACTTATAACTGTAACTGTCTCAAATTCTATCTGATGTCTTTGTTCCATGTCAATAATTTGATTCTCTGGTAAACACCAACTTCCTACTCATGCTTTTGCTTCCATCCTTCCCTTTTGCCCCCATCTTTATCTTGCCCAAGTGAACCCTGTTATTCATGCATCCAATGATTGTAGAATGTGTGCTATGTCCAATTGTCAGGCAAAGGCTAAGGTTGTTCAAGTAGGTTGGATTAAAAAACTGGTTCACTTTCAAATCATTCCAAAAAAATTGAATATCAAACAATCAATGTTTATTATCTGTTTTTAGAGTTCTTTTTGTCAAAATTAATTTGATTGAATATTTATAATAGCCAAACTGAGTTACACATCGACTTTTTCTTTGGCATTGATGAGACATTAATATATATTGTTGTGTTATTTAGTATGTTGTGTTCTTTGGCATCGACTTTTTTTTTTAGTATGTTGATGTTATTTAACTTTTAATATATATAAAATTAAAGAAATTCAATAGAAGAAAAGAGAAACCACAAATAAAGGGGGATAATTAGGCCAAGGCCTCCGTAAGAAGGAACAAGTCTAAATTTTGTTCAACAAGAAATTTCTAGCTATAGGGGATGGCTTGTCAATCCAAAAATAATATCCATTGAGATTGAGATTAATGTTGACATGATAATATCTACTTCGAATTTCCCAGAGAAAGAAATCAATCATAGGGGATGTGGATGCCTTCTTGGTTAAGTTACATGTTATGGATACATTGAAAATAATTAAACGGATGGCAGGCATCCAATGGTTTTCTTGTTAAAGTACCTATTGGTTCCTGGAAAATCAAATGGTCTGAAGGAGATTGATGAATGCAGCTTTGACCAAATCTCATAAACTTGATTAAATTGAAAAGTTAATGCCAAAAGTTAGTAGAGAGCCAAGTCCAAAGATTTACAACATAAGAGTCAAGTGGGATATAGTCATGAACTTTGAACACATAAGCCTGCTTAAGGATATATGCCTAATCATGTATCTCCCATAGCATCTTCAAGACATTGACAACCTAATGAAAAAACTGAATCATTTTCAAAGCATATATCTCCCATAACATCTTTAAGGCATCTTCAATTCAATCATATAGAATCACATTAAGTTATCTTGAAGCAAACAATATAAGTTGATTTTTTCTCTTCATTTTACTAGTAGTTTATGTGTTCAAATAATTATTTGCAGGAAGGTGAGAAAATGTAAGGATTCGTATTTGAATTTAGGAATTTATATAAATAGAATTGAATTATATGTTGTTTTAGCACTTGGATTTAATGAATTTTTATCCTCCAAATGCTCTAATCAACTCTCTTTGGTCTGGTTTTGTACAAAAATATATGAAAGTATTTAGTTATACATCAAAACATTTTAAGGATCTACAAAACTAGCATATCATAAATTGGTCAGCATAAAATGTGTCTTGCATTAACATATTTGTTCATCAAATTTATTCTCCCTCTAACTGCCTCAAAATAGGCAAGGGGGTTAAAACAACCATCCTTAGAGAGAAATGGTCCACAAGGGGAAGAAAGTCAAACCAAAATTCAAAAGAATTAAAACTGGGACCAACCCAAGACCATACTTGGAGCCATTATCCTGCCCTGAGGGCTATTAAACAAAATTTAAAAAAGAATCCACACAGAGGTAATAAATCATCAGAACACAAAATCATTTCAGAAAAAATTTCAATCTTCAGAGTCTTCAAAAGAACCAGATTCATAACCACCTCCACTCTCTTCACTACCAGCCTCAATTTCATTATCATCATTGTCTTCAACATTTCGACCATTATTCTCTTCAATAGCCCATGGAGTAGAGGCTTCAACTCCTTTGGGAACCATCATCTTGATAAGGTCATCCATCTCGTTCTTGCAAACTGTGAAGGCCATAAACTTCCTCTAGTGACTTAGACACATGCATTAATTCTTAAAATATATGACTTATGAAAATGCCAAATAATAGAGGAACCTCAGGAAGTTCATCTTCAGTAGTGAGATCAAAATAAATATGACGCGCATAAATGTCTAGAACACGACTTCATACAAACAGACAATTGAAACTCAGTAGACTTAAGCTTGCAGTTCAGGATGTCATACTTGGCACTTAAGCTCGCAGTAGGCGGCAACTCCTTTGCTCGACCAATCTTTATACTCCCTACTAGTGATTTCTTGAGAAGTAATCCTCAAGGGAGGAACCTTGTTAATCCTGATCAATTTTGTTCTCCTAGGTATTCATTGATTATTGTACGGGAAAAACCAATACAACATTCACGAACATGCACCTTCTTGTAATCTCTGCTTTCATCTTTGTTAAAATCTTTAGGAATATTAACAATGAACTTTTTCACATACCGGGGATAAAAAAAGACTCAAGCTTGTCACAATTTTAATAATTTAAACATCTTACATGTAAGATATGTAACGCCCGTTAATTTAATTAATTATTTAATTAAATTATTTTTGAATTATTTGTTGAAGTTGTGAGATGTTGGGAATTATTGGTATAAGTTGTTAGATTATTATTAATTAATTAATTAGTTGATTAATAATAATAATGTTGGAATTAATAGAATAAATGTATTGGGCTTATGTTATTGGTTGGAAGTAGTAAAGTGGGAGTGTGTAAGTTAGGCCCAATAGAATTGATGATATAAGGTTAAGCTGACACAAGGGTTTGGTTTTTGGAGAATAAGGAGTCTTGTGCGTGACTGTGTGAAGCCGCACGAATAGAGGAGCAAGTTGTCCGGTGTCGAGCAGAACAAAGCAAAGCTATTCGGTGTCGAGCAGAACAAAGCAAGGCTGTCGGCTGGAATTTTGGTAGAGCGACCTTCAATCCAGGTAAGGGTGAGGTTCTAACCGTATAATGGAATTAATAATGTGTATTATGTGGGAATTGGTCGTTTGTATGACTGTTGTGCGTTGATGGTTTTGAATCTGTTATTAAAGTTGTCTGTTTTCTATGTTGTGGTCATTTAGAGAGTTACCGTGTGACTGTCTGTATGATTAATGAACCTGTTATAGGAAGTTGTCCGTTTTATATGTTGTGGTCGTTTAGAGAGTTACTGTGTGACTGTCTCGTATGATTAATGAACCTGTTATAGGAAGTCGTCCGTTTGTCATGTTGTGGTCGTTTTGAGTTGTCTGTATAATTGTCCGGTATAATCGATGATTAGGTTAATATAGATTTTATCTGTTGATGTGGTCGTTAGGACGTTGTGATATTCCGAGCGGTTGGCAGGAAAATCAGTAAATTGCTATTGTGGTCGTTATAGGAAGGGTTCAACGTGACTGTCTTGTACATTTAGTGAATCTGTTTAAAGTAGATATAGTTGTCTATTACTGTGTTATTCTGAACAGTTGGCCGGAGATCATGGATTGTGTTGTGATGGTCGTTATGCTGTTGTATTATTCTATGTTGTTGACTGGAATTAGTGGTCGAGGAGGATGTTGATGGTGTTAGGTGCTGAGCGGCATGTAGGCTGTGAGGTGTGTCGGAGAATATGTGTTGGATGTCGAGCGGTATTAGGATGCAAGGCATGCTGAGGAGCACAGTATTGATGTCGAGCTGCACGAAGCTACAGGTTATGTCGAGGAGTATAAGCTAGTTTTTATTCTTCTTTGTTTTTGTGCGTGTCGAGGGGTATTGAGTTAGTTGTTATTCTGTCTTGTTGTTGTGCATGTCGAGGGGCGCGTAGTTCTTCCTATCCCTTTTGCCCGTATATGTTGGTTTGGTCGATACCAGTGTTGTATAAGTTATTCTGAGTTGAGAAAATGCAGGTTGATGAATTATGTTGAGATGCCTCTAATTATGGGCAGATATTAAGTTATAAGCTTATGACCAACGTTGATTTATGTTGAATTTATGTTGAATTTATATTGAATTTATGTTGAATTGTTGTTGATGTTGTAGGTTTATGGTCAATGTTGATTTATGTAGAGTTGTTGTTGTTTGTTTGTTTGTTGTTGTTGTTGTTGTTGCTACATTCATGTTGTGTCACATAGATTGTATATCAAGTTGGAGCTGATGCTCGTTAAGTTGACCTGGATTGGCAAAATATTAAGTTGAAGGTTTATACCTTGTTGATGCCTCTATTTATTGGAAGATTTTTAAGTTGGGAGTTCTGCTACATTGGTACCACATGCATTTGCATAAAGACAAGTTGCATCCTGTGTTGCATTCTATGTCGTTGTGTGGTTGATTTGATTATGCTTATGTTATTAATTATGAAGCGGTGATTTTTTCCTGAATTGATTCTAACATTTTATTTATCATGCATTCGATTATAATGTTCAATATCTCACCCATTATGTTTGAATGTTACCCATATGTTGGTAACGTGCAGGTAATCCAGAGTGAATGCAGTTTACCTTCAGTAGTTCGAGTCGGTGTCATTGCTCTGATACGTAACACTCGGGGGGATGAAGGCTTGCTATTTTATTGTTGTTATTATTCAGTTGTTTCACTTTAAGCTGTTGTTCGTTAAATAACTTAAATAACTGTTATTTGAAGTTATTTTAGTTAGATAAAGATGTTATATTCTTTAAGTTGAATATTTGATTTCGCTGCGTGGTTATGAAAGTTGTGGGTTTTAAAAAATTAATTTATGTTGTTGTTGGTTCATCCAAGTTTAATGTGTAATGTATCATTAATGAATGTCGTTGTTTTAAGTTGAAATCATAGCATCTTGATTTGTTTGTTCGAAATTTTATAACATTGATTTTTATAATAACTGTCGGGCAGAATTGTGGTGTTACAAGTTGGTATCAGAGCAAGTCGGTTCGTCCGACCAAGTTGTCGAGTCGTAGTTGTGTCTAACAATCAAGTATTTTTACCTTGAGTTCTAACCGTTGTTTATGATATAGTGATAAGTTGAGATGGCTAGAAGGAATGACGCTGCACTTGCTGGCGCTTTAGAAGCAACAACGTGTGTTATGGAGAATCAGCCGAACACTGACGGGAATGCTGGATCTCGTAGTTTGGCGACCTTCCAGAGGGAGAATCCACCTACCTTTAAGGGTAAGTATGATCCTGACGGAGCGTTGGATTGGTTGAAAGAGATTGAGAGAATCTTTCGTGTGATAGACTGCACTCTAGCGTAGAAGGTTCAATATGGTACTCATATGCTAGCAGTTGAAGCTGATGACTGGTTGCTAGAGACGTGTCAGAGGTTGGAACCTGCAGGTGAAAATGTCACTTGGGTTGTGTTTAATAGGGAATTTCTGAGGAAGTATTCCCCTGAATATGTTCGTAGTAAGAAGGAAATTGAGTCCCTTGAACTGAAGCAAGGAAGTATGTCGGTTGTTGAATATGCTGCAAATTTTGCTGAGTTGGCTAAGTTTTATCCGCATTATAGCGAGGCTAATGCTGAGTTTCTGAAGTACATCAAGTTTGAGAACGGGTTGCACCCAGAGATCAAGAAGGCAGTTAGATATAAGAAGATTCGTGTCTTTGTTGATTTGATTGATAGGTGCAGGATTTATGAAGAGGATAATAATGCTCATTATAAGATTATCAATGAGAAGAGGGGTAAGCACCAACATAATCGTGGTAAGCCGTACGATACCCCAACTGGTAAAGGTAAACATAAATTTTCTCAGGGTAAGAGTACTAGTGGGGGAGATGCTCTTGATGGTGTGGTTTATTTCAAATGTGGAAAACCCAGGCATAAGAGCAATGTGTGTACTGCTGAGGTGAAGAGGTGTTTTTGTTGTGGTAAGACTGGACATGTTGTATTTGAGTGAAAGCATAAGGAGATGATTTTCTTCAATTGTGGTGAAGAAGGACACATTGGTAGTCAGTGTCAGAAAGCAAAGAAGGCACAAACCAGTGGTAAAGTGTCCGCTTTGGTTGAAAATCAGATGGCTAATGAGGACAGACTCATCAGAGGTACATATTTCATTAATAATACTCCTTTAATTACTATTATTGATACCAATTCTACTCATTGCTTTATTGCTGCTGATTGTGTTAAAAGATCGGGTCTTATATTGTCTTCTATGAATGGAGAGATGGTCGTCGATACTCCAGCCAAGGGGTCGGTGACTACTTCTTTTGTTTATTTAAAGTGTCCTTTGTTGATCTTCGACAGAGACTTTGCTGTTGATTTGGTTTGTTTGCCTTTAAGTGGGTTGGATGTGATCTTAGGTATGAGTTGGTTAGAGCATAACTATGTTTATATTAACTATTATGACAAGTCTATGAGGTTTTCTACTCCTAAAGAAGAGGAAGCTGGCCTGTTGTCAGCTAGACAGTTGAGAAAGTTGATGCAAGAAGAGGCTCAAATGTTCTCGTTGATGGCGTTGCTATCTGTCGAGAATCAAGCTATAATTGAGGAATTGCAAGTGGTGCGTGAATTTCCTGAAGTTTTCCCTGATGAAATTCCTGATGTACCGCCAAAGAGAGAAGTTGATTTTGCTATTGATCTTGTACCTGGTACCAGACCTATTTCTATGGCACCATACAGAATGTATGCATCTGAATTGTCAGAATTAAAGAAGCAATTGGAAGATTTACTTGAAAAGAAATTTTTAAGGCCAAGTGTATCGCCGCAGGGAGCTCTAGTGTTGCTAGTAAAGAAGAAAGATAGATCTATGAGATTTTGTGTTGATTATAGACAATTGAATAAAGTAACAATTAAGAACAAGTATCCACTTCCAAGAATAGATGACTTGATGGATCAATTGGTGGATGCTCGTGTGTTTAGCAAGATTGATTTGAGGTCGGGTTATCATCAGATTAAAGTGAAGGATGAAGATATCCAGAAGACGGATTTTAGAACGCGTTATGGACATTATGAGTATTCGGTGATGCCTTTCGGTGTTACTAATGTTCCTGGAGTATTCATGGAGTATATGAACCGTATCTTTCATACTTATTTGGATCAGTTTGT